TGGCTGCACGGACCACCGGGAACCTGGCCCCAGGCGCGGACGCCGCTCTTCCGCCTTCTCCGCGCTCCCGGGCAGCGAGGGGCGGGGCGCGCGGGGAGGAGCCAGAGCGGCCCGGCCCATGAGCGCCCCCTGGCGCCGGTCCTCCACGGAGCGAGCTACTGCGCAGGCGCGGGGTGCTCCCTGCTGTCAGCTCCAGGCACACAGGCTGACTGGGTGCGTGGGCTTCCCTGGGTGGGCTTCCCTCGCGCCCAGGTGTCCCATCGTGAGAATTCCTTACTCCACTATCCTGATTCATATTCTCATCCTTACATTCGCCCCCTCCCTCCCTCCGCCCCTCCCTCCATCTCTCTCCTCTCTCTTCTGTCTCTGTCTCTCTGTCTGTGTCTCTCTCCTCTCTCTGTGTGCAGTGTATTGAGGGGCAGGGTTTGCGGGTAAATTGCAGGCGATGACTCAGTCCTGGAGTAACTGATTTGGTGCACATCAGCAACACTAGTAATCCCAAACTGTATTTTCATAGTCCTCCTATTCAAGCAGGAGAAACCCCATCTGGGTAAGATCTCTTGATCTTGGGGAATTCTTTAATCACTCACAATCTCCACCCTCCTTTCCAGGGAAGTTTCCACCATAGGTAGAACCATCTATTAGTTCACATGGTGCTTTCCCTTCACCCAGGCCAAGGGAGTCAGCCCATACATGAAACATTTTACATTGCTGCCAAAGATACTAGCCTGTCCTCTGTCATTACCATGGGAAGGTTAATTTAAATTCCCTGTTTAACTGGACAGAAATGTCTACGAAATGTAGGGACACATCGCAAGAGGTGCACGAAAAGATTTGTACTCACATTTGCGAATTTGCTTATCTTCCACCCCGTAGAGTAGGTGTTACAGGGGAGTGGTCACATGTACATAGGTATCCTGATCCAGTTCTTTTTCCTTTCATAAGCTGTGTGAATTTAGATTAAGTTACTTAATCTGCGTCTCAGTGTTTTTATCTCATATAAATGTGGGAATAGTAATAAGGTTGTTGGATGGGGTACATTAATAAATATATAAATACACAATTTAAAATTGTCCAGGAAAAATAAAAGTATGCTCAAATATTAACAATAGCTGGTTTTGGCGGCCAATATTTACTAAAAATCCTTATCTTTTCAAGGCAAGAATCTGTCGTTAGTTCTCAGACTCAATTGGCTCCCTTTAAAAATGTATCTTGAAATATTTGAGATATAAAATTATAAAGAATTATACAGAAACATCCGTGTGTTTGTCACCCAGTTTAAAATATAAAACGGCCCGTAGAATTTCCAGCCCCAGTGTATCCCTCCTAAGTACCACCCTTTTACAAACAAATCTCTTAAAGGATCTCTTAAAGCAAGCATGATATGAAATTGAGAGATGGAAAAAAGGAAGAGGAAGAGAGAAAGACTTCCCACTGTTTATTAATGTAAGCTCTGGTATAAATTAAGTCCCCTTCCAGCTTCAGTTTCCAAAACCATAAAAAAGATAATGATGTCTGTCTAACAGGACTTTTGTTGGGATCAACTGATAAAAAAATCTATGTGGAAGAACTCAGTGCTAGATTTTCAAAAAAAAGATCGGATGTCTTGTGTGTATTTCTCTACCCTGTTAGCATAAGCATCCTTGAGGGAAGACCTTTTCCTACTTCTAGATCCTATTTCTTTTTCACTGCCTTCTGTGTAGTGCAGCGTCTTTGGGCTCACCCATGCCCCGGGCACACAGGAAACTTACAGTTCTCCTCTGCTTGCAGTCAGGCAGGGCATGTGACACATTCTGACTCATCATATGTAGGGGAAGAGATGTTATCATTTTTAGGACAAAGCATTTGATTTTCATCATAAGATGCTTCCCTGCATTCAACCAGGAAGACCATGGGGTGGCTATAAAAAGGAATGGTGAATTAGAGTTGCTGTGTAGATGAAAGTTGTCTTGAGGAGTAAACCCACCTGCCTTGGACTCAGTAGAAACAAATCCCTGTTGCTTTAAGCCATCCAGATATTGTGGGTATCTTTTCTGCAGCCCAGCCCAGCCTATCTTATACACAGTTCCTCCCTGAAGTCTTTTCTGATACCAGGCCTCAGAACACCAAAGTTGCACTTCTGGCTCTGAATAATTGGGACCTAGTCATGTGTCTTCATCTATAACACTGGAATAAAATCTACGTGGTTTTCTTTTCAGAGATGATGTGAATTCAGATGAGGTCATGTGTAAAGGTGGTTTGTAAACTACAAAGTCCTGTGCAGATGACTGGAACTGAATGTTCTCACTAGCAGAGTGATTTGGTAAGTACGGCAACCACAGTGTCTAGGTTTTCTCCTATCCATGTACTAACCAGGCCAGACCTTGCTTAGCTTCTGAGATCAGATGAGATCCGGCGTGTTCAGGGTAGAATGGCTGTAGACAATGTCTAGGTTTTCTGAAATACTGCTGATTTAAAATATTTTTTCAGTTTTTTTCAATTATACCTTTAAGCAAACCAAATATGCACAAAAATTAACAACAATTTTCTTATTAGATTGATATTTTTCACATTCCATTTGAAAAATGAAACAAGACATACTGGGGGGAGCATAGGGATGGGAAGGTAAGTGATTCTTCCCCAAACATTTGAAAATGAGGGGCGGGAATCTAGCTCAGTGGCACAGCACCTGCCTGGCAAGTTCCAGATCCGAAATTTGATTCTCAGTACTGAAAAAAAAAAAAAGAAAAAAAGAAAAGAAAGACAAAGAGATGGCCCTTTAAGAGTTAAATTATGGAATTAAGGCACAATTCATTTGTTCAAAATACATGTATTGAACAATTATTGTGTATATAGCAGCCAGCCTTGAAGGTGAAGTTTATATCTCTGTGTAATCCCCTTAATTAATAGGGCTGACTGATACAACCCAAAGGATATGGTGGAAATGAAAGAATGTGACTTTCTGGGTTAGTTTTACAGGACGTTATCTTGCTCTCTCTTGTTCTGAGGGAAGTCCCTGCCCTGTCCTGGAGTGCCCAAGCAGTAATCTGGGAAAGGCTCATGTAATGATGAAGGGAGCCCTCCTGATGACAGCCAGAGGATTGCTAAAGCCCTGTGCAGACACCATCAGGGAAATGGACCTCCTGGCCCCAGATGACTGCAGCCCCAGTCAGCGTCTGCACTGTGAACTCAGAGATCCGAAGCTGGATCCTGCAACTAAACTGCTTCTGAATTCCTGACTGAAAGAAGCTGTAGCATAATGTTTATTATCTTAAGCTTCTACATTTTGGGTAAGTTATTATTCAGAACCATAGCAAATGTAGCGTGTGGCCACCAAGAGATGCGGTGAAGAATATAAACCAGACTTGTCCTTCATGGAACTCGTATTTCGGTGGGGTTGCACAGACAGGCCACAGATATTTAAATAAACGATGAGGTAACTTCAAATAATGCTCAGTGGTATGGAAATGTCAGGGAAAATGAGAGATCCTATGAGAAAATATCTTTTACCCAGGGGAGTCAGAGACAGCTGCCTGGGAAGGAGAGATTTGAACTAAAAACATGAAAGATGGTGCTTCACATAAAGACCTTTAAGCAGAGCAGTCTAGGCAGAGGCAACAGTTACTGTGAAGGCTGAAAGCTGAAATGGATGAAATGATTTGTAACTCAGGCTCTGCATAGTCACTGTGGCTGGGAGTTGGAAATGAGTGGACCTTTGGACTTCCCACAGAGCACCTGCATCCAGCTAGTTTTGAGAAAGGAACGTTGTGCAGAGAGACTGTGTATTTGGAAGAAAAAAATACAATCTGGTCCATGCAATCCAGATAAAAACACTTTCTAGAATCTTTCCTATGCCAGGAGAACCCAAAATAGATGGGATAATTTTTGGTAAAATTAATGAACAAAAAAAGAACAAGTTAATCGAGAGAGGAATCAGATATGATAGAACCTAGAAAAAAAGGTCAAGGTAATGCATTGTGGCATTTCCCAAGTAATTCCATTTAGAGGATCTGTTCTGGTTCAAAATTCTCCCCTAGCTGTGTGTTTTTAAAAGCAGGCATTTTGGGGATGGCCCCATGTCATTACTCTTTGAGATGTAAAAGCAATGACCTATTGGGTGATTTCATGATTGCTAGCAATGGTTAAATGAAGCCAAATGAGCACACGGAAGAGTCCTACCCAATAATGGAGTTTGGCTTTGGAATACACTTCAAGTTTAATAACTTTGAGAACTGGCCCCACCCTTCCTGTCTCTTCTCTGCGTCTTTTTTTCTCCTCTCGAAAAATGAGGCCAGGTGCTCAGAGCAGAGGAGGGAGAAGACCGTGAGGGGGTGGGGGTCGCAGGTAGAGGATGGCTCCAGATAGTAATAACAGGCTTGGGGTAGTGCCTGTTGCCAAGTCAACTCTCCAGCCTAGAAGTAGACTCAGACACTAGAAGGCAAAAGTTTAGTTTTGGAATCACCACGAGTATGAACTTTTTTGTTACTGTAACTGAATACCTGAGGCTGGGTGCCTGTGAAGGAAAGATGTTTGCTTAGCTCACAACTCTGGAGGTTCAAAGCCTCACATCTGATCATAGTCTTCTTGCTGGGAGAGTTCAAGTTGGCACGTATCATAGTATCACATAGCAAAAGACAGGGAGTGTGTGTTTGGGTGTTCCGGTCTTGCTAGTTCTTATTATAAAGCCTTCAGGATTCAATCATAAGACTGCCACCCAAATGCACTTATCTAATCCTAATTACTTCCCAAAAGGCCCATCTCTAAATACCACCATAGAATTAGGTTCCTATCCCTTTAATACTTCACAATAAAGCTCAAAACTAGCATAGAATTCAAACATATTTAAACCATCAGAGCACTTTAGAACCTAGAGAAGTTCTCCAAATTGTCCATGGCAGTGAAATATCTTTGGTAAAACCTTCTATTAGTAAGGAGTGAAAGACCTTGTCTTCCCTCTTTGTTCTCTTCTTCAAATCCCAATCAAGAACTTAGGCTTTTTGTGGCTGTATTCATATAACCTACTTTTGGACAAAGAAGAAATCAATCTCACTCCTCCCTCTCCCTTTCTTTCTCCCTGTCTTACTCCCCACCATCCACTCTCCCATTTGGGGGAGAAGGGGAAGGTAGGCACATTGGGACCACTTTTTTTCCTAGTTTCATTACTGCTTATCGAACGATGTTGAGATAAGAAATTGACCTAATTAACTGCTTACCTTGAGGGAAAGAATGTAGCAGTTAGAGAATGTGAATATCTGATATACTTGTTATAGTTTTAATGTAAATGAATTGTTTTTGTCTGATTTGTATTTGTTTATTATGAGCTGGGTTAGCGCACAGTGTGTATAAAATAATAATTTTTTTGCAGTACTGGTGACTGAACCCAGAACATTCACACCAAGTGGCATCCCCATGTCCAGCTCTTTTTAAATTTTTATTTTGAGACAGTGTTTTGCGAAGTTGGTAAGTTGCCCAGGCTGGGCTTGAACCAAGCCACTCTGAGTGTTGAGGATAAAAACAATTTTTGAAATGACAGAGCTAAGGGTCAGATAATTGAGCAAGGTTAATAATACCTTATGAGTTGTACTTATACTTTCTATTCTGGATACTTTTTTAAAAACTACAACTAAGAAAAATCATCCAAAACTTAAAGTAAAAGAATGTCTAAGTGTTTCTTCACTGTCATGTTCAATATGCTCACCTAGTAATTATTTACTAGTCTGGGTTGGAGTATGTGCCTTTACATTTACATTTTTTTGGAGACTAGATATTGAAGCTGTAGAATAACTTATAGATTTCCATCCTGGAAGAAAATATAACCTCAGGGTTAATGTATTACAAGTATTAACTACTTTTGTGTCTATTTAGCAAGTAAATTTATTTCATCATTCCTTTGATTACTTGTGTAAAATCTCTATCTCTTAAATTTTCCTTTGAGGCAGTTTTATCATCTTATTGATTCTTTCATGCATTGATGAGACAAATAAAATCTTAGACATATGTTTATTCTGTATTTATATCAGTCTTATATTTAACTTTTTGAAAATTATACTGTACTGTCTTGGGGCATAAGACTGGGTCTAGCAGATCCATTCCTTACTTTTCTACTGTAAATTTGTACTTTAGCATTATAGTAGCTCACTATGTGTCTCTGTACCTTTCCCTGAGGAATATAGGAAGCAATCTATGGGTTTTACCGCTTAGTATGATAAACAGTGAGAAGTGTGCATGTGTGCAAAAGTGGCAAAACAGGATTTGACCTACCCTTATGCTCCGTCTAATTGGTTTTGAGTATGTTTACCTGAGTATCACAGGGGGTCCACTTGACCCACACTTCTCCAGGATTTGTTAAAAAAGTTTTATTTTTGTTTTTCTGGCAGAAGTAGCCCAATTCAGTACAATGGCTCATGAAAAACCAGGTTGCAAGTTTTGGAGGAGGTCAGAAGTGAATCAGTCATCAGAGTACTCATGCGTGGATGATGAAGATGATCCATTATGGTAAAATACACGTGTTCATAGCAAGAGAAAGGTGTGGTGTATGATGCTGCTTCTGCTGCTTCTGCTGCTGATGACTTTGACACTGGCCATGTGAGGCAAAGTTCCTGTGACAGTGAAATGGAGCAAGAATTGACTGATACAGACAGGGAATGCAGTTCTCCTTGACTCAGATGACAAAGAAAGCAGCAATGTGAGTACATATTTGACTAACCAAAATATTGCAAAACGGCCTTGCAACTCAATGAAATTCAATTATAACTAGGTCCTAAAATATAGTGAGGGTCTTAGCAAGGGTGAAATGTATTGGACAAAATGCCAGCACTGCCATTGAGTGTTGGAAATTGTAACAGACGAATGCTACAAGGTGCTGTGAAATACGCAAAGGCTGAAATGCAAATAAAATATTCTGTGTGCACTAATAGCCATATTAAAAATGTATTTATTATGACACCTCACTAGCTGAACTGAAAGCATTCATAGGGATGCTATTCTTAAGAATACATTTCTCATGGTGATTGAAAGAATGTAAAAGACTTATAGAAAAGTGATGGGTCAAAATATGGCATAAAGATTTATGTCTTTGTAGATGTGAAGACTTATTATGCTTTCATTGTAGACATTTGTCCTGGAACTCACCCCTGAAGTCCTTATGTGCATAGTAATAAACCAAATAATCTTGTGAACAGACGTTTTGCATCTGTCTCCCAAACCAATTGGAATGTGACATTAGGCGATTGGTTTACCAGTTTCCAGTTATTTTTACATTTACTAACAAACACAAGTTGACCAGAACAAGAGCAGTACATAGGAACAAAGTAGAAATTCCAAATGTTGCAATTTCAAAACAGAAATATACAGTACAATCTTTGGGTTTTAGAAAGATATAACATTGGCCTCCTATATGCAAGGAAAAGCAAACTGGTACTGCTAATGTCAATATTTCACCATGAGAAAAATATTAACAAGGAAACCTTGACAAAATGGAAGCTTGAGATGGAAACTTTCAACAATAAAACTAAAAGTGGAGTAGCTGTTGTTGAGGAGTTATGCAGCAACTATGATGTCATTCAAAGCACAACGCATTGGCCAATGGTTATATCTTACTCAATCATAAACATGGGTGGCATAAATAATTTAATAGTGTACAAAGAAAATAACAAGTGCAAAATATAACAGAGAAATTTTCTCAGAGGATTGGGACTGGAGCGCATAAGAGATCATTTACAACAGAGGAAAACCAAAATGTTTCTGCCCATGAAATTATGCAAAAAAATCATGGAACACACTGGTGTGCTGACAGGTGAACAGGCAGGTGCAGCATCACAAAGACCTACTATGCCAACAGGAAAACAAACTATGTCAACTGTACCCTACAAGAAAGTACAGGAAAAGCTGGGCATGGTGTCACATGGCTGTAATTCCAGCACTCAGGAGGCTGAGGCAGGAGGCTCTTTGCAAGTTTGAGGCCAGCCTGTCCTACAAAATGAACTCAAGTCCAGCCTGAACTGCATAGCGAGACTCTGTCTCAAAAAGATAAAAAAGTACAAGAAAACGAAACATAAGTGCTATCAGTGTAAATGATACTTGTGTATGGAACATGCAGTTGTCATGTGTGAAGACTCCCTTTGGTGTGACGGTTGAAGCAAAGCTTATTTCTGTGGTAGACTGTTGTTTGTGTTTGCGTTGCAGGTCACATAGGTTTTTATTTTTGATGTTATCTTTCAGGTTTTGTAAGCAAGTAAACAGCTGATAGGAAAATGTTGATGTCTACCCTAAGCACTCATTATATATTTAATGTTGTATTTTATCAGTATCTTATTTCCATGTCAAATGTATGTTGTACAATAGAGTAGGAACCTCCTGACAAAACAGGAAGTAAAGAGAGGTGACAAGACTGCCACATAGGAAAGGAAAGTAAGCATATCTGCTGTCAATGTAAGCGAGACATGTGCATGGAGCATACAGTTGTCATGTGTGAAGACAGCCTTGGGTGTGGCAGTTTCAACAAAACTTATTTTTGTGGTAGAGTTCTAATGGTATGTTCATTGTAGCTCATATAGGAATTTATTTCTGATGTTATCTTTTAGGTTTGTCAGGAAGTATACGGCTAATGTGAAAATGTTGATGTCTATTCTAAAAGTGCAATGCATATTAAGAAGTTAATTATGTTATTGATATTTTATGTTCCTGTTAACTACACACTGTATGATATAATAGGAACCTCCTGAGAAAACAGGAAGACCACTGAGATATCAAGAATGTCCTACAGCTGGGGATATAGCTCAGTGACACAGCGCCTGCCTGGCAAGCGTGAGGTAGTGAGTTCGATTCCTGGTACAAAAAAAAAAA